AAATTTGTGAATACAGTTCCAGGATATCAAGAGAACAGAGGAGATAGAGTAGTTTTATGTATTGTGTTATTGTTAATGAATTCTGTTATTGAACTGTGCTGTATTAATTGGGTCTTCAAATAACAGTCTCCCTAAATATTAGTAGCTGAAATACCAATAGTTTTTATTTCACTATCAGAAGTCTAGATATATGAGGTTGCTCATTTGGTTAAACAACTCAACAATATTAAAATGGATGTCTGTTTTTTATTCTTGTCTTTCTGTACTGCTGTTTTTCACTGTCTCCCTTATGTTTGCAAAATGGCTGCTGCAGCACCAGGTATCACATCCCCACCAAAAAAAAAAAATCTAACAAAAGTAAGGAAGAGGGAGAGCAAGAGGGTTCTTTGCTTGATTGACCCCCAAAGCCTTACCCAAGTAGGAGAAAAAGCATAAAGAAAATGTTAGACTCAGATAAAATTTTCTTTTTTTTAAACATTTACTTATTTATGCATACAGAATTGGGGTACAGGCTAGAGATGCAGGGGCAGTGAGAGGATCCCCCACAGACAGAGCAGGGAGCAGAACAGGCTGATTGACAAAGTACACTGCTGAGGGGTGGGCGGGTCAAGAGAGTGGGTCAGGAGAGGTCTGTCACACCATGTGGATCACCTCCGGGGCAGGTGGGGATCAAACTCATGCTGCAGTGGCTTTATCTTCTTAGTGCTGTGCTTTAACCTGCTGTGCTACCAGGGAGGGTCCCTAAAATTTCCTTTTTTAATTACCCCAGAAGCAGCTAATAAGTAAAGGATGCTGATATGAGAGTAAGATTTGGGTAAGCAGAGACAGTTTCCCATTACCTCATTTATCCCTCATAGATGGGGTCCTGAAATCTAGAGGTCTTAGTAGTCCACAGTGAGTGGCAGGTCTACCAGGTGAATGAAGAACAATATTTTGGGTCTGCTGCATTACATAAGCCCAGCTACCTCTGCACAGACAACTCAGAATGCGAGTTAGACAATAGGTCTGATACTCACTCTGCCATAGCATTTAGCTGTGATGATTGCGTTTGGAGCCTTGAGAGTCTTGCAAGACCTACACTGCAACATTTTCCACCTTCTCTGCAAAGGCTAGAAGTTTGCCCTTTAAACCTAGGAGTTCACTCATGTGTGAAAGCTTAACAGGAGGATAAGTTGGGGGAATGGGAATGAAGACTTTGGATGCAAGAAACTATACCTGCAAAGTTATGAGCAGGATGATCTATTCAGAGTACTGTCAGTTACTTGGAGAAATTGGGCTACAGGGCCTGAGGGAGGGTTGGGAGAAAATGGAACTGAAGAAGGAGCCAGGAGCCAGAGGTGTGACTCAGGTATGAGTATGGGTTCTGTGATGGCAAATTCAGTGTACCTTGAGAACCCAGAAGAGATTGGCTGGAGGAAGAAGGTTTCCAGAAGTCTTAGATCCAGATTCAGCAGACCCAGTGTTCAACCAGGACCCAGTGATTCAGTTATACAAGTTGCCCACGTCAGTTCACTTATTAAATATTGTGAATACTGCTTTATACCCTTGAAGGCTTAGTGAGGGATTCCCAGGCAGAGGGGAGGGTGAGTTTTCTTTTCTTTTCTTTTCTTTAATATAATAGTTTATTTTTACATCATTTTGTGCATTTGTCCATCTCAGTTGCAATCCTCTTGGGCTTCTCATCACCAAATCACCCGTGTGCCATCACCATAGTCCAGTGCATTTCCCCCCCCCCTACTGTTTTTGATCCCATTCCCCACTCCACCTCCACAAAATGTCTCTGGTATATTGCTGTTCATCATTATCATTATTTTCTCACTTGTTCCATTATATTCTTGCTATGAGAGAACCCAGGGAGGATGAGTTTTCTAGGAGGAGTTTATAAAAGTTATCAGAAAATGGAGAGATGGAAATACCAGGGGAGAATGAGGCCCTGGTGTGGAGGGGCCAGACTGAAAGCCTGTTTGTCTTAACTCTGCAGGACTTGGAAAGACAGTAAAGGGGAGAACTCCATCTCACCAACCCAATAATTCACCTGAAAAATCAAGCCCTGTCATGTCTGCTGCTTTTTTTAAAAGGAAAAAGAAAAAAGGAATGCAATGGAGGGAAGGATGGAAAAGGGATTAATAGGGGAAGAAATGAAAGAAAAAAGGAAAGTAGAAACCAATGTGACAAAACTAATGAGATTTAGCTAGGCTTATTGGCTACAGAGACTATTATTTATCATTACTTATTTATTTGATATTGATGTTTATATGCTTTCCCAACCAAGATTGTTTTTTAAAAATGAACATGATCGGCCCTCTCTGGTGGCGCAGCGGGTTAAAGCACTGCACTGAGAAGCTAAAGCCACTTCAGCATGAGTTCGATTCCCGCCTGCCCCGGAGGTGACCACATGGCGTGGCAGACCTCTCCTGACCCGCCCGCTGCTCCCCTCAGCAGTGTACTTCGTTGATCTGCCTTGTACTGCTCTCTGCTCTTTCTCTGGTGAATCTTCTCACTCTTCGGCTCCTCTGGCCTGTACCCCAGTTTTTTTAAATAAATAAATCTTTAAAAAAAAAATGAATATGATCAGGTAGAAATGTATAGATACAATCTTTCAGTAAAGCTACGTGTCATAAGGTATTAAAAGACCTAAAAATGCTCAGTTCAACTCCATGGTGATAATTTTGACTCCATGATAACAATTCCATGATAAAACTTGCATTGGAGATTATACATGCAAGAAATTTACTTTTTATTGCTACTAATAATTCATTGATGCCACTGTGTATGCTAGCTTAACTTCCCAAATAAGCAAAATGCACCATTTTAATGGAAGTCTTCCCAAATACATTGTGCTTATCCTGGTATAATGAGTACCCTGAGACTTAGCCATCCCTTGATAATTTTATTAATATAATTAACAAGGTACATGTTACTAGATTGATCCCAAAAGCTGTTGAGGTGTTGAGGGCTAGCCTCCACAGGCTGTCTTTCAGGCTAGCTTGCCCTACTGCTCTTTGTCATCTCTTGCAGTTGGCTGTCATTTCTCATTATTTTCACCTGAACTCTCATTAGAACTCATCTATCTAGTCAGAATAAAACCTAAGCAAATCAAACCAGACAACCAAGTTTATACACATGGTAACTAAAGTAAAATGCCTGAACAAAGACCTGAAGCTACTGCTAACATCTGCTCTTGGCTGGGTTGACATCAACACCTGAGAATGACATTATCTTATCTCTGGAAACTGTCAACATATATCTCTGGACACTCACCTGACACTTAGAAGGTAATCTTTTTTTTTTAAAGATTTATTTATTTATGCATACAGACTGGGTGCAGTGGTGGTGAATGGATTCACCAGAGACAGAGTGGGGAACAGAACAGGCAGATCAACGAAGTACACTGCTGAGGGGAGCAGCGGGCGGATCAGGAGAGAGGTCTGCCGGGCCATGTGGTCACCTCCAGGGCAGGGGATCAAACTCATGCTGAAGTGGCTTTAGCTTCTTAGTGCTGTGCTTTAACCCACTGCGTCACTAGGGAGGGCCAGAGGGTAATTCTTATAGGTGTTAAAGTTCAAGAATTACTGGCGTATGGATGCTCCTATGAAAAAAAGTATCCAGGAAATAGAGATCACACAGGCAGCTGGTTGTTTCTGTACAGGACCGCCACCCAAGGCTGAAATTGTGACGGTTGGCCATGAATTTCTTGTACTTCCAAGTGCCAAATACTCCAAGTATCACATAGGCTTCGTTGGTGGAAATTAGAGATTCCTTTTCTGAATCTCCCTGACTTTAGGTTAGCTGACAAAACTGATAGATGGCTCTTGAATCATAAGGCTCACCAGTTCTTATCACTCAAGGAAAAAGAGAGTAATGGTAATAATGGCTACTCATATTTTCCAAAGGTGAGACTGCACAGAGTAATGGACAAAATGATATAATGCTGAACATTACTAGATATAAGTTAGTCTTACACTTTTATGATGTATCCCATTTGGGCTGGGTATTTAATAGTTTACATTTTCCCCAAATAAATCTTAATATAGTTACTGTATCCATTTTAACCATTTTTATTAAAATGGTCATTATTGGGCCCTCCCTGGTCGCGCAGCGGGTAAAGCACTGCACTAAGAAGCTTAAGCCACTTCTGCATGAGTTTGATCCCCACCTGCCCCGGAGGAGATCCACATGGCGCGGGCAGACCTCTCCTGACCTGCCTGCTGCTCCCTTCAGCAGTGTACTTCGTCAATCTGCCTGTTCTGCTCCCCACTCTGTTCCTGATGAATCCTCTCACCCTCTGCATCTCTGGCCTGTACCCCAGTTCTATAAGAATAAATAAATCTTAAAAAAAAAAAAAG